TGTGACAAGTTGGACCACAGAGAGATGAAGATTAGCATTAAAGTGGAGGGAGGAGGTTTGTGGCATAGGTCCTATCACTTTGTGTTGGTTGGACACAGCAGAAGGTGTTTTTTGGTGGTGGTGGGGAGGCAATTTATTCTACTCATTGCCTCCAGTGGCATATAAGTTTGTCAGCCACAGTACTTTCAATTTCTGTTGAGACCAGGGACCTATGACTCTTGGCCACCTCTTGATATGCACCATAAGATTTGCATCAGATGGGCAGCCATGGTACTAAAGAGCTCTGCAACTCTCCAAGGAGGACCCCCACAGATGAACTCTCTTCTCCATAGTGGCCTAGTGGGACAACCGCATTTGCCAGCAAATGTCTTAGGATCCTCAGGAGACCATCCCATCGGATCATATCCTGTAATGCGCATCCCATTAAAAAGAGATGTGGTGGAGACTACAAATAGGATCCACTTAAAGATCAGACTTGTACATTTGGGAGTTAGAATTCCAAAGCTTCTTTTCCTATATGTTATATTTATGCACACAAGGGATGTAGACAATAATTTTGTACCTTGCCTCAAGCCTCAAGGAGAGGTGGTTATAAATTTATTATTAAAATTATTAATTATTAATATCACAATAAATTAATCCTTTTAATAATATAGTTACTATGCAATAAGGAATGAGCTGGGTCATTTTGTTCAGTACATTAGTGCACTTGCTGAATTCTTTTTAATTATCTAATTGCTTTAATCTTTTCTCCCACAAGCTAGCTGTAATAGTGAAATCTGATTGATTTTGTTTCATACACATATTTGGAGAAAATGATTGTTGACAGTACCAATAAAATTACTAATAGTGCCTGTTTTGATATATCTAGTCCACTAGAGTAAGTGGTCTCCCAGTCTGGGAATGCAGGATGTTTCAAAATAATGGGCCAAATTTCAAAGCAGTATATTTTGCAATGACAACATTTTATGGTTGCACAAAATTTTGCAAAAGGTTTAATGAGTTATCGAATTTTACTATTTTGAGCCAAAAATAAATCTAAAAAATAATCCCATGAAAGAAGAATATCTCACTAGGCCTTATGTTCCAAGTTTGCCAACTTGCAAATTCTTGAGGCTAGTGGCTGCTTGTGTGCTGGAAGAGGCATCTAGCAGTAATCCTTTGAAACTCTATGGCCCATCCTTTCATGATTGCAGCAATATAGTGATTTCAAACTGGGTCCTTCTTTTCTAAACAACCTGTAGTAGGAACTCATGGCAAGGCCAGGTCACCAATACTGGAATTGGGTTAGGATTATTGTATCCTTGTCTGCTTTTGTGGTGAGGCATTGAATGTTTTCAGTGTGTTGTAATCTATCGAGTCCCCTTGGGGAAATTGGGCAGAATATAAGTAAATTATTATTATTATTATTATTATTATTATTATTATTATCACAAAAAGATTAGTACATAGCAAACAAGGCCACTCTGCTGGCTGTTGTATTGGATCACACGTCGGACACTTCCCAAGTGTCTAGGACAGAGTGATGTATCAGCGAATAATGTGTGCGGATCCCAGTAGGGTGGCCTTTTGCAGCTGACAGATGGTAATTTTGTCAGCGCCGATTGTGTTTAAGTGCAGGCCAAGGTCTTTAGATACTGCACCCAGTGTGCTCGTCACCATTGGGACCACCTTGTGCCAGAGTCTTTGCAGTTTGAATTATTATTATTATTATTATTATTATTATTATTATTATTATTATTATTATTATTATTATATGTCAGAAATGAATATACAATTTGAAATATACTATGGAGAAGTAAATACACAATGTCAACCAAATCTAAATTGACAGGAACACATACAAATTCACACTGCAAGTGATACACATTTAATTTAGTCCCCATCTCACCTCTTTTCACACATATACAGATTGACATGGTGATAGCAAAACCTGGTTCTTTATGTGCAACCCTCCTTCCTTTTTCTCTCCATTGCCTGCTTAGTGTGGTGTAAAGTATGCAAACACTGGCCAAGATCTGACGCTGAACAGCTGGAGTATTATGCTCTAGCCACACCATTCTGCGTCCTCACCCAACCCCATCCTGCTCTAGGCAGTTGATATATCCAGACAAACAGCTGTCAAGCTAATGCTGCTTACAGGCAGGGATGGGAGCCAGATCTGACAAGGAAGAAACAGCTGGTCCCAACTTGGAAGGGGACGAAATGGTGGTGCACACTTGGATGGGTTGCACTCTCCTGTTTTTTTCCTTGAGGCCCAAAGCAACATAATTTCATTGTCTGACTTGTGTCTCCCCACAAGTTAACAACAGTCTCGATAGCAGCTAAGATATAGGCGTTGGACAGGACACAAAGAAATAGAGAATAGCCCCTGTCCCCATCCAGAAAGGGATATACACATTTGTAATGCCTCCATGTGCATATGTTTTTTACCAGGAAGCCACTCTGGATGAGGAATTAATTTCTCAAGTTGTATTGCTCCAGTCCTTTATGATGCTGCCTTACATATGGGTTGTCAAGAGAGACAGAGAGAACTTGCACTCTGCCCTCTTCTTGAGGCAATCACTTCCAAGGATTCTTGCTTTATGGAAAAAATTGTTATAGCTAGATTAATATAATGCAGGAAAGAACTGCTTATGAATGCCAGTCAAATAGAATGAAATGGCCAGGGTGCTTTTGTGTGTGTGTGTGGGGGGGGGGGGGGGGGGGGCTCAAAATGCACAAGAAGTAATTTAAAGAACCCTAGGAACACCTGTCTTTCATTTCAGTTGAAATGCCAAATCCTATCCTTAAAAGCTGAGTATTGTTGTCATCTGTCAATTTCCTCATTTAGAATCGCATTAATATATTCAAAAATGCCATATAAATTAAAATATAGCTGCACAGGAACATATATAAGCTTTAGGAACCAAACTATTTTCTTAAGAGATCGCTCTTTTTTGCTTCATTGATTCTGTTTGTCATGTGGATATATTTATTCTGTTTCTTCGTAAGTATGGGTGCTGTGGTTGCCTGGATACAGAGCCCGGTAATGGGAGGACTTAAATTACTTAGACCAAAAATGCCAAAAGGTCTTCAAGTTCTCTTCCTCTTCTTAAAGAAGCACTGACTATTGAATGTTTGGATATTAGCACATTGTAGGAGACCAAAAGTCTAACACAGGACTAATTCAATTATTACTCCCAACCACAGTAGACCCATTCAATCAATGTACTTTCCTAATGGTAGTCTTATCAAGTTCTCATTGATTCAGTGGGTTTACTCTGACTAACAATTGCATTTACTCCAGTTTAATGCAGCAGGGAACAAATGATTTGTCAACCCTATTTTGACACAAAGAAATAGATTATATTAATAGGTTTTCTTTCTATAAGTTTTCAGTACTAATAAAGGAAGCAATCAGGTCAGAGAAACAAAGTTGGTTCTAGCTCGTAAGTACAAATAAAAGATGCTAAAACATGTGTTGTCAAAGGCTTCCATGGCTGGAATCACTGGGTTACTGTGAGTTTTCTGGGCTGTAACATAGTCATGCAGCCCACAAAACTCACATCAACCCAGATGCTAAAACAGCTTGTGCTGATGTTCCTGAGCTCTGTTTGAACCACTTCTTAAATGTATAAGTCAGTTGTCCATTGCTGCTATTGATAGAATCTAATCTGAGAGGCTGCTATGGTGGTCTGGATAGAAAGAAGTAAATACACTCAGTCCTCCATATTAGCTAAGTTTAGGGAAACAAAAATCCCAATGAAAGTGAAAAAATAAAGAAATTGCTATCTGCTGAGATAACACATCTCTAGGAATTTTTAGGTCTTTCAGCATGACGCTATGGTCAACTTCCAATGGATGGTCACCATAGAATTGTACTGCAGGATCTAGAGATTCCAAGAGAGGTGTTGTCTCTAGAAATCTCAAGGTTCCTTAGCATGACTAGAGGAAGTTGGCCATAGAGTAACACTGGAGGACCTAAAGATTCCACAGAGAGAACATGTTAATCATATCTGTAAATAACAAAGTCCCCAAAAGTTAAAATGCAAATGTAGAGGGGCAACTGTTCTGTTTTGAAATATTTCCCAAGAAATACTGAGATATTTCCAAAGCATTGTAGAGCGTCATGATGATCTTTGCCTAAGACCTATGAAAGATCAGAGTAGAGCACACCCAGACTGGTAGACCAGTATTTCTCACTATCCTTCCTCTCTCACGCACACATACTAACACCCTGAAGCTGTGCTCTAGTGAATGTAGTCCACCCAGTGCAAATGCATGGTATGTGCAAACCTTCAGATGTTGTTAGATTACAACTGCCACTATACCTATCATTAATCAGTAGTCAGAAATGATGGGCTCATTCAACAACATCGGACCTCACTACCTCTGAGGATGCTTGCCATAGATGCAGGCGAAATGTCAGGAGAAAAAATTGCCCCCAGAACATGGCCATATAGCCCGGAAAAACCTACAACAACCCAGTGATTCCAGCCATGAAAGCCTCCGACAATACATTGAACATTGGAATAGTCACAAGTTTCTTGCCTCAGATTCAGCTGCAGAGTTTCATATAGATATATCCCCCATTCTTGCTAACTGAACCCTGCTTTTGTTACCTGTGATGCCAAGGACAATATGTAGCCAAAGTATTTTTTCCAGAGTTGATGTGTTTTGGTATCCAGTTCAAGATATGTAGCTTTCTCGCCTAACATCAAGATGTATATTTTCCACACCAATCAATACCTATTGGATTTTACGATCTTTCATGCATATGAAAGTCCAACTTTCAGTCTATTGCAGTCGTATACTTTGCTATAAAATAAGTATTCAGAGATGTCCATTTAGCTAGAATATTAAAATATGAACTTAAATATAAATAAGAACATGCTAGCATGGTGTACAGGTTTAAGCATTGCGTTATGACTGTGGAGACCACCATCTGAATCCCGACGCAGCGATGGAAACCCATCTTAGGCAACTCACACATGCTCAACCTCAAAGGGAACAAACTCTTCCAAGAAAGCCCTATAATAATTTCACCTTAGGCTTGCCCTAAGGCAGAAACGACTTAAAGACACACAACAACAAAGTAGCAACAGTACCATATTACCTGATGACCGCTGCAGCCCAGATTACCACAAAGGGCTCAATACCTTTTATTGCAATGAATGAAATGGATTATCAGAGCACCATTTTAAAAAAGCACCCAAAACCCTCAAATTTGAATTAATGCAGAAATGTTCTATCAAGTATCAAAATCAAGAACAAGGTCAAAGTTGGTTTGCATTCTAACTCTTAGTTTTCATTCAAAAACATTTGAAAAACTTATTCAGCCTCTTGAAATATGATTTGTCTCAGTGTAATCTGAAAATATATCTAAAACAGATTGTGAATTTGAAAGAGATCATGAGTTGATAAAAACAAGTACTATAGCTGAAACAAATATCTATGTGATCTTAAGTTTAGAACCTGTTGCTGTGGCCTACAGGGTATTATACCAGACATTTCCTAGGCGAGGCTAGATTTATCATCAAAATGAGATTTTTGATGTTTGGACAAGTCTTCAAGTCTCCAATTCATGTCTTCAGTATCCTTTGAAACAATATTCTAAACCATGATGATGGAGATGCATAACAAGAATGTATCTGAAAGTAGCTGCATTTATCATATTTTTGTGTTATTTCCTTCCAATCAGTTGCTGTCTGTTTCCCATTTTAGTGTCCCTATGTTTCTCTTCATGGTAAATACTGAATTGGTAAAATTAGCTAGTGAATTTCCTTTTCCTGTGTCTTATATACGGAAACTTTTAAACTGATTCAGGGTAAATCTGACAGTTACTTCTCAATACAGCAATAGAATAAGGACTGAATGAAATACTGCCTGCAGACTTTGTTACATGTACTGCTGCAGTAACTACCACCTTTTCAGACCAATCTACTAGAAAAGACATAGAGGTATGAGGTTTTATGGCTTGCTGGCATCACTATTGCTAATGTTTCTTTATCTCAGGCCATGTTGAATACCCAAATGCTGAGAATTTTATAGGCCTCCAATTCCTCCATGCATGAAGTTTGAGTTTAAACACCTTCGAAACACCAAGAGGACATCTAGGCAAAGTCAAGCATTGCAGCCAGAAAGGACTTTCAGTTGCTATTTATGATCTCAAATAGGATGGTGTGAACTATCATGGGTCTGTAGGGCACAAGAATGCTCCCTGGACCCTCAAAAGTTATCTACTCCACAGTTATCCACTCTTGATTTAAAACTGACTTTCGGGTGCATATTTTTGTTTTAATAGTTTGCTAGCTTTCGCCAGTTTCCTTTCAGCTTGCCGGAAGAAATGGATCCCAATTATAGTCACCTTTAAGGAGTGTGTACAACCCGCTGAGACATTTGTAATGAAGGATGGGTTCCCGTGTGCTTAAAAAGCATAAAAAATGGCTTCCTTCCTTGGAAAATTTGGTTATGGTGAAAAAATATCTACTACAGTGCTCTACACTGTAATAAATATTCAATATAAATTAATAATTTACAAGTACCTGAGCAAGGACGCAGCCCACCTTCACATAGCACCAAAGGCAGTAGCCCAGAGTTCTTAAAAATAATGGGTTTCTGAACATTAAAACATTCTAGCTAATGATATAAAAATATGGATCTCCAACTAGAGTTGAAAATAGTGCAAACTTCTGTCTTCACTTTCCAGGATAAAATTGTTGTGTTCCATTTTGTCATTGCTTAAAGGCAGTATTGCAGGATCTGTGCCCATGAAGCAGATGTTTTGGTGCAGGCCTGTTGCATAAAAGAGAATGAATTAATATGACACACACAAAAGATAAAATAAAAATACTGTGGTTTACATGTATAGTAGTGATTAGGCATGTGCATTTGGGCCAAAAGGCATGCTGTTTTCAGGTCTATTTTCGTCTGACCCCTCATTTTGTTTACCAGAAAGTTACCCGAAAGGGGAGGGGTGTTTTTTGTTCCAGTAGGTAGAGATTTGACCTATTGGCTACAATCCTCAGCCTATCTGCATGAAACCTCCCTCGGTTGTAGACCTCATTTACAACTGCAGGCCTGCCAAATTTCAAAACAATTCACCAATCTACTGATTTTTTAAGAATTATTTTAAGTTTTAACCATAATATTTGGTTGTGTCCATTCTTAGCCAATCAGAGCATGGACACTACCAATCTTTTGATTGGCTGAGAGACACATAGAGAGAACAACTTCAACTCCCATCACGTTCCAAGAGACACTTTCAATGGCCACCCTATGCACGTGTCACTGGGAAAGTGAGTTCCCTGGGCCCTCTCTGGAGGAGGAGGAAACTTTCCAAGAAAAAATGGAGGAGGTCTCTTCTGCCGGGGAGAGAAAAAGACACCACAGATCCCCCTGCCTCAGGTATTTTGTAGAATTGACTCTTTCCAAAAAGATTGTCTTTCTCAATCCATTTTGCTGGTCTGTTCATCTCTCTATTCCCCTTTCTGGTTTTGGAAATTAAACGAAAATGGCCCTCCAAAAACTATAAATCTTTCTGTTAACAGTAAATCAGGCCCAAGTCCACTAGTCATCGTAACATCAGGGAGAATAAAGAGACCAGTGTTATGTCTGTGTTCACAACATTGGAATACAAAAAAAACCCACAGAATTATGCAATTTGTCATCATGTGGTGGCATTGCCTTAGACAAATACTTGTTGATGAAAAATCATCCTTATTTGGGGAACTTTTTTGAGACTGAAGATGCTATGATGTCTACCATATCTATCCAAACAGTCAACTCCAAAGGATATTCTGCCATGTTTCAGAAAAGCATGTGTTTTCATAATTGAACAACCAGACCCACCTAACAGGAGAAAGTTGACACACAGGTTTAGGAAACTCATGTGCTGCTCTGGAGGCATTGGCAAAGTTTGCACTTTTGCTTTTCTGAGGATCAGCCGGCAAAGGCTTTCGTGGAGGACTCGGCTTGCAAGATTCCTGTAATGTGAAACAAAATCTTAACATTTCTCTAGTAAGAGGAATTAACCTTTTTTAAAATAGATATATAAATGATCAAATATGAGCTAAGGGTGGTAAATTACTTTGGATGACAAGCAATCATAGAGGAATTAACAATAATAAAAATCCTGGGTTTTTTTTGTGGTTAATAGAGTTATACCTTATGACACTTGAATGTCAGCCATAACAGGGAAGTTATATTGTTGAATTTGTGTGTAATGCTTCAGTCATAAACAGATAATTTGTCTTCCCTAAAATACTCACATTTTTCTTAATTGAAACGGAGATTCACATCATGTGGCTCCATTACTTCTATTTGTGTGTATTTTATTTATCTGTCTATCTGGTATATATCTCACATTTCTCCTGAAAGGTGCCCAGTGCAGTGCATCGCATGAATCAAAACAAGGTAGTAACTACGTAAGTGGGAGTGCAAAAATTAAACGGATTGATGAAAGCTTCAACCAAAACCTTTGACCTGTTTCATGTCCTGGCTTTCAGTGGGGGCCCTAATCCATTTTTTGGGAGCCTCCTGAAATCGGGAGGGCAGGTATCTGTTTTTGCTCTGGGGTGCCGAAAGATCAATTTTCTAATGGCTCATTATGTGGGGGGGGGGCCTTCCCAGGTTCCCCTTTTCATCCTGTTTTACTCCAGGGGGGAGGCGCTCAGCTGCAGGCAGGCACACACATTTTCTGGGTCTGTATGCCACACACTCTCTTTCCAAGGCAAGGAGCAAAGTTCTGACTTTCTTCCTCTAGAGGAGGTACTCAGTTGCAGGCAGGTGCACGCACATTCTGTCTTTCTTACTCTAGAGGAGATGCTTGGCTGTAGGCAGGCATGAGTTTTGGGCCTGTATGACACACACATTCTCTTTCAAAGCAAGGAGGCATGGAGCACCATGTGCTCACAAAAGCAGAGGGGGAGCTAATGATCAGCTCCAGCTTGCTTTTGTGTTGAGCTAATTTTTGTGTGTGTGGGGGGGGGGCTCCCCATTACGTGATCCCAAAGTTAATGAAAGTATGGATGAAATAAAGGAAAATTATTGCACGCACAACTCTACAAATGAATACAATGTTTTAAAAACTACACAAACCAGTCTTTGAAAAGATAATGCAACATGTCCACAAATAAACACAGTGAAAGCAAAAGTGGAAATGACAAGTGGTATCATTTGGCTGTCTGAAATACACAATCTTAACTGTAGGCTTTTTCATCTTTTTCCTTTCGTAAAACCTAGATTTAAGAAAAAAATAGAGGTTGCCATGCCTAGTCTATTCAGAGTGAGGGTGCGATGTCATCTGTACGCAGATGATGTCCAACTCTATCACTCTTTTCCACCTGCCACTAAGGAGGCTGTTCAGGTCATGAACCGGTGCTTGGCCGCTGTCACGGACTGGATGAGGGACAACAGATTGAAACTAAATCCAGACAAGACAGAGGTACTCCTGGTCAGTCGTAACACCGAACAGGGTACGGGGTTACAGCCTGCGCTGGACGGGGTCACACTCCCCCCAAAAGCTCAGGTACGCAGTCTGGGAGTTCTCCTGGATTCATCGCTGAGCCTGGAACCCCAGGTCTCAGCGGTGGTCAGGGGAGCTTTCGCACAATTAAAACTTGTGCGCCAGTTGCGTCCGTACCTTGGGAGGCTGACTTGGCCATGGTAGTACACGCTTTGGTTACATCCCGCTTAGATTACTGCAACGCTCTCTACGTGGGGTTGCCTCTGAAGACTGCCCGGAAGCTGCAGCAAGTACAACGCAGGCAGCCAGATTACTAACGGGTGCGGGGTACAGGGAGCACACCACTCCGCTGTTACTCGAACTCCACTGGCTGCCGATTAGCTTCCGAGCACAATTCAAAGTGCTGGTGTTAACCTATAAAGCCCTAAACGACTCCGGCCCTGTTTACCTCTCCGAACGTATTCTCCCCTACGAACCATCAAGACCACTAAGATCGTCTGGAGGGGCCCTGCTCTCGGTCCCACCGCCTGCACAAGCACGGCTGGTGGGGACGAGGGACAGGACCTTCTCGATGGTGGCCCCTCGACTTTGGAACTCCCTGCCATTAGAGATCAGAACTGCCCCCTCCCTCATGACGTTCAGGAAACTAACAAAGACCTGGTTGTGGAACGCGGCATTTGACAACTGATTTAATTCTTTGCCCACATGAAAGGAGGATGATGAATGGGATTGTGATGGTGTCGGACGATTTGGCTCTTTTAACTGGGATGATAATGTTTTAATGTGTATGGTGCTGATATTTTAATCGTGTAATGAAGTGGCATTGTGTTGTTATTGTATATTCTTTGTATGTTAACACATGTTGTGAACCGGTCCGAATCCCTCTTTGAAGGTGAGAGGGTCGGTATATAAAACCTCAAAATAAATAATAAATAAATAGAAAAGTATTTGTGTTATCTTGGTGGTAGATGCTGCTGGTTGGGGTTGGACTGGATGGCCCATGAGGTCTCTTCCAACTCTTCCAACTCTTTTTTTTTGTATGTTAACACATGTTGTGAACCGGTCCGAATCCCTCTTTGAAGGTGAGAGAGTCGGTATATAAAACCTCGAAATAAATAAATAAATAAATAAATTAACATAAATTCTATTCATTTATTTATTCATTAGCTATATTGAAATATCAAAAAACTCAAGTAGAATGCCTTCCTCTTCTCCATTTGTACTCTATTCTTACAACAATCTTCTGAAGCAGATCAAGCAGAGAAAGTGCTATGCCCCCAAATCTCTGAATTGCAAGCTGTCTGGTGCCTTGAACCTGGACCCAATCCTAATTGAACACTTTAATCAGCACAGCAACCTGGCTCTCATTTTAAATGAATGCTTACTGACAATTTGCAGTATGTTTGTCATTACATTTTTTAGGAAGAAAGGCTGGTAATAAAATATGGATAAAATCATAAGAGTCACAGAACTGGAAGAGACCGTGAGGATCATCCAGTCCAATCTCCTGCCATGCCGGAAAACCCAATCCAATCACAAAGTATCCATTAATAAAGGAGCTTTACATTTGCTAGATTTCATTAAAAGGGGAAAATTAGCCTCTACATCATTTTTCAGACAGACACTACAAGGGACACAAGCTGAAATACACAGAAAAGAAATATTACTAAAGTATTATGTTAGATTGCAAATTATGATTCTCTATTTTGTTAGCTTCCAGCAATAACGCATATCGTATTTTTTTTTGGGGGGGGGGGACTTTCAGTTTGTTGTGTTGCAAAGGGAATTGTGCTCGGTTTTATTATACCATCGTAACTTGGGGTTTTTCTGTTAGTACAGCATTTCTGGAAATGAAAACAACAAAACGATAACCTGAAACCCAATATAATTGAGACAGTTGGCAATTAGAGGAAAATTACACTTTTAGCTCCGGGAAAGTTTTGCTGTGGCTGCCTACAGGTCTCGTGAAAATTGTGAATTGTGTCCCTCTCCATGAGCATATACCAGACTGAGGATCATATTTGTTTCCATTCTAATGTTTCCCTTTACTTTGTCCCTATATGTGAATGACTTCAGTATGAACAAGTCAAATGATACACTTTAGAATTAAATGTCATAGCAAAACCAGCCCTTTCCCCTGATGTTTAGAGTGGCCCAGTTTCCACTGAGAGGGAGTTTGTACTAAGGTGAAGACAATCAAGTCAATATCTAGAAGCAAATATGAAAATTGGTTCCACTTTATTGACAACATGTACCCAACATAGCCCAAACACCCTCTGATGTGCATGATCATTAAAGATCTCTGCCGTTCAGGCCTGTGTTCTGACATTGTTTATGCCTGAAAAATAAAATATATTTATAGATCAGATGGTCATAATCTTTCAGCTTTAGATCTATAACTTTGAGGTCTGTTAAATGGGTCAAATGTTTTGCATTTTCAATATTAGCAGCTACCCTTAGTCCTTGTGAAATAAACACACGGATGGACACATGTTATGAATAGTCTTCTGATAACAGACTCCTCTAGACTGAGTTTGAATGTGAAAGTCAATAAATACAGAAAGGGATCTGAGTGTATCTAGTTTCTTATGCATTAAAAAAAATCACCTGATTCGCTGTATATAATCTTTGGCAATGAGATTAATGGTCAAGCTCTGCTGCATGAATATTTTCCCTGAAGATATTCCTGTTTTCTTTTTAATCTTAAAGTATTTATAGGAAGTTGGAGACGGGGTTTTATTACTTCACAAGTAGGGGGAAATTTATCTTTCCCCCCCGGGAGCTCTATTTGGAGGGATTTGATGGTTATTCAGATGGTGAAGATGGTAAAAGACCTACATCAATAAGAGCTGAAATATAACACGGAACTAGTATTGCAGGAAGATATCCCAGAATTCATGCTTAGGATGCAAAGACACAGTCATAATTACAATTGCTGGCAGGACATTTCCTTATAACATTCCAATGTGACATCAGTCAACAGAGGGCTCATCTACACTGGCTGCTTATTACAGGGCAGGAATGCACCAGACTGGACATGTTGGCTTTGAAGGCGGACACACACTCTGTCCCCAGCCCTTGGCAGTAGTGGGATGGAATAGACATGATCCAGCCAGACCAACACTGTTTTTGCTTGACTGGGCCATTGCTTTCACCCTGTTTGCAGAGGCGCCTCTGCTGATGTTAGCATAGAATGCCAGTGACAGCCGGGAGCCCTTTGGTCATCTGGTAGCAGTAATGCAACATGGGTCCAAAGTGGCCCTTTTACCTTGTATTGATGAGCACAGGGAAAAGGAAGTAGCGATAGCCTGTGTAGACAACTAACAGGTCCATATCAGACATCAGAAACTAGATCCCATGTAATCTATCCAATGTAATTTTCTGAATCAGCACCCAAAACATATGCCATCCAGTAGTCGCCATCTGCCTTGGCACTATAAGAGGGGTTCTGTGGGCGAGCAGATGGCGACTACTGGATGGCACGTGTTTTGTATCAGATACTAGAGCTGAGGTTGTCTATCCAATGCAATTTTCTGAATCAGCACCCCAAATAATCCCAGAAAAAGGCCCAAAAATGAACACATCAAGAAAAAAATTGTTTTGTTTGGGCTGTGTTATTATCCATAGTAGTAACTGTGAGGCTGTGGATCATATTTTAGTTTTTGTGGACCACTGGTGGTCCATGGACCACAGGTTGGGAATCACTGCTCTAGGGAAACTATCGATACCACAGAATGGGAAAGAATATACCTGCTCATGTCTCAGAGGAATAGCAGGCAGCAGCTTCCTAGGAACAGAATGTTGGCTGGGTAGCTCACAAAGAGAAGGCAAGGCACGCTCCGGTGGGCTTGACCGCCATCTATCCTGAGTCTTCACAGGCTTACTAATGTCACCTGTCTGATATCTTAGCATCCTTTGCGGATCGTTTCTCTGCAAAACATTAGTAAACAAATAAATAGCAGCTTGAGCACATTAGATACGATTCAGTGGAAGTTAAGCATTTTAAACTTCCAGAGCTTTCAGTAAAAAGCGGCATGGGGGGTGGGGAGCACTCACAAAAGAACAAGATTAACTCTCCCACCGAAGTCAATGCTATCTAAAACACTTGGCCGGATTGTGACTATATACTCCTTCTCAAACATATCTTATAATTAATGAATGTAAACATTACTGCTTTCAAGGTTGTTTTGAATTGGCTCTTATTTCCTTTTTAATGTGCTACTTTACCATTTCTGAAGCCAAAGAACAACCAATTAACAGCTTCCAGAAGCTTACTCAAACACTAATCCTTGGATACTTGGAAAGCATCGCTTCGGTATGAGATGGCTGGCTGCACTCCAGAGACTAAATGCATTCATTTCTTTTCACTATTTGAAGTCTCCATCTGTCTAGAACTAGGCATGGATGCAAATAATCATTGGGTTTGCATTTTAATGCACAATTACCCAGTTCTCACCTTTTGGAACCAAGTATTATTAAAATATGCATGGAAAAATGCATACGCTTTGTCACTGGAAGCATTCATATCAAATGTGTACTATCTGAAATGTGCACACACATTGTACATCTCCTTCAATATGTGGAAACACCATATAAATCCATGGAGAGATTGAGAGAACAACTTGAGTCATCTTCATGCAGACCCAAGTCAGAACAAGCTTGTTGTTCATTCGTTCAGTCATTTCCGACTCTTTGTGACCTCATGGACGAGCCCACACCAGAGCTCCCTGTCGGTCGTCACCACCTGCAGCTCTTTTAAGGTCAATCCAGGATCCCATCCATCTATCTTGCCCTTGGTCGGCCCCTCTTCCTTTTTCCTTCCATTTTCCCCAGCATCATTGTCTTCTCTAAGCTTTCCTTTCTTCTCATGATGTGGCCAAAGTACTTCATCTTGGCCTCTACTATCCTTCCCTCCAATGAGCAGTCAGGCTTTATTTCCTGAAGTATGGACTGGTTGGATCTTCTGGAAGTCCAAGGCAGTCTCAGAACTTTCCTCCAACACCACAGTTCAAAAGCATCTATCTTCCTTCGCTCAGCCTTCCCTATGGTCCAGTTTTCACATCCATAGGTGACTACAGGGAATGCCATTGCTTTAACTATGCAGATCTTCGTTGCCAGTCTTCAGTGGAAAAATGGAAATCACCATCATCATAATTTATATAAATGGTAATTCAACTGTGTTAAAACCCACCTTCTGTGTGTACAAATTTTGCGGCTTTTGGGCTAGATTTTTATTAAGTGTTGTAGTAGGAAAATGATTAGGTTCAAACGAACTGGAAGGTCTCGCTGGAGTCACAGACCTGCAATACAAATATGCACATTCATTTTTAAATGCCAGTTCAGCATTGTACTTTAATGCAGGATTTGCTTATCTTTACTTTCTTTAGTAAACCGTGGGAGTAAAATTCACCAAACGTACTTGCAAGAATCAAAATAAATATTGATTGTGTTTGGTTGTTTAGAGCCACTAGTCTGTTAAATTAGCTCTTGCAATCTGTGGAAATGCTGCTTTAACAGCACTCAAGAGAGGTTTCTAATGAAGTTGGTGTTTAAGCAGTAATGACCTCAGCTATGGAGACTAGAAACAAAAGGCTATGTCTATGTTTCAATATTTCAAGCGAGCCAAAACGAGGACAAACTTTCCCTCACTTTTTAATTGCTTATCAACAAAGTGAAACAACAACAACAAAAAAGGGCCTTGTCTGCATAGCAGATTCCTGTGGTCTTAATTCATTGCAAGAACAGTCTTTGAAAAAACCAGACATTTGTTCATATTATATATATCTATAACTAGAGTTGTATGCAAACCCCTCTGAATAAATTATGCCATGAAAACATTGTGATAGGTTTGCCTTAGGGTCATCATAAGTCAGAAATGATTCTACATACACAAACACATCTATATATGAATCTATTCCAACTTTCTAATTAATATTCTATGCTAACTCATTCAAACTGGCTCATTATTATTGCAATATTACAACGGGTGTCAGGATCACCATACCAGCCTGAAACTGACCGCTTTGATTCTCTGTCATAGAGAAGGGAGATGGGGGGAAGGGAGGCTGGGTACAGGGAAGATAGTGTAGGGAAGACATCTGTTTTGTGAGGGAAATAGAAATTGCAGTTAACAGACTGTGGCCACAGTGTTTGGYCACTAGAGGGTGGATGGGAGTTGGGCTGTTATATTACATGGTATTTGAGCAAAAACAACAGCCCCCCCCCCCCCCAAACCAAACCCAATCTGAAATCCAAAACAATTTTGGTCCCAAGCATTTCAGATCAGGAATATTCAGACTCTACTAATGCTGAAAAATCTCCAGAGGGTAGCATTGTGTAGTTTCTATTGATTTTTATTTTAAAAAGCCATATTATGTACCTTAATTTCTCAATTGTAGTCTTCTTATTAATAAAGAGCAGTCTAATCAAGGTCTTCCTTTTGATGTACATAAGCAAACCAGCAATCAGAAGGCACAGGATGGTTATGAGCAGTCCTATGATTAAACTCTGGTTATCTGAAAACAAACAAACTCACAGTTCTTATGCACAGACCCGGTTAAATGGATGACAGCATTGCTTTCCTGCTGTTGGTTGTATAGCTTACACATCAGAGATAATACTTTAATTTACTAAGAGCTGATATTTTTATCAAAAGGGTAGACATGTTGAGCATTCCCATGTCTCTCCATCCTATGCAGCTCAAATCATATGGGATCATAAGAGGTTAGATGAACCCTAGGACTTCTGGTTAGAAACCCCATTAAGACACTGGGTAGTCTTGGCATTTTACACTTTCTCAACCTCAGAGGAAAGTCGTGGCAAATATCCTCTGAATAAATCTTGCCAAGAAAACCCTAGGATAAAGTGGCCATATGTTGGAGTCAACTTGAAAGCACACTGCAACAAATATTCATGTGCAAATTATCTGTGTCATGCAAGGCTGTCCAAATGAATTTAATCTCCACATGAATTAAGAATACTTAGTTGTATAAAATAGTACAACCACCACATCTCAGAAACAGCAACAAGAGTTACATTTACTATGGTCTGTAAACTCTTAACAAATGGCAGGTATGTCACACATTCATTTTGTAAGTGTAACTTGTAAACGTCTCAAATGAACCAATGCAATAAGAATGGACCTGCTGTGTATATTGTACATCAAGCATTATCTGGGGAAAAGGGACTGGCGGAGGTTCCCTGATGTGTGTATATCTGGAAATGAAGCTAGTACTGTCAGCATGCAGTGTGTTAATCTCCTTGAAGAAGAAACTAATTATAGTCCCCTGAGACTAAAGTTTTAATTGTGCATTCTATGATTCTAAGTATATTTTATAGTAGTGTTGTTAACTGGCTGAAAATATGTTTTTTAGTCTGGACACAAAGGGATTAATAGGGCCCAAATTAAAGGAATGGTCAGCAGGACAAGTTCCCAGGTGAATCATTTCTTAGGGAAGGTAATGAATCAAGGAGGCAAGAGTTAGTTAAAGAACCCAACTCATCTGTATTGCTCTCTTACAGCAGCCTGCAAGGAGGGAACAAAGTAAGTGTTTGTACAAAAGAAGAAAATCATAGCAATATTTATTAATTAAGGGCACATCCAGACTAAGTAAAATGTGGGCAAAAATTGGTTAAACTAACCTGTTTTCTCCTGTGTTGTAGTCCCCATCCCTTCTCATAACCACAGCATTTCCCTACATACCACCCCAGGTCAACCAAAAGTTGATCCGGGAGGGCATCCAGCCACCCCCCATTCACTCCCCCAAAACTCACCCCACCACATTGACAAGCATGGAGGGCCTCTCCGGAGACCTGTGGAGTCACATCAGAACAACGCTGGAAGAGAGGGGAGTGGGAGGAGGAATTTTCCCTCCGCACCATCCTCTAGTTTCATTCTGATGCAACTCCACAGCTCTCCGGAGAGGCCCTCCATGACTGGCAAACCTGCAAGGTAAGAGGGTAGTGCTACCATCTTGCTCCTCCAGGCTTTTGGATGTCCAAAATGGTGAGATGGCTATGGGGACTCATCCCTGGGTAGTCCTGAGAATTAATCCCCACAGGGTTCTCACCTGTTAAGAACAGGATCCTAACTTATGATCCGGATCTTAAGAAGTGTTTTAAAAACCTGGAATAAACCAAGCCAATTTGGCTTGGCTAACTGGTTTTTTCCTTAGGAAAATCCATATTTTAGTGCTGTGTAGAAGGGCCCTTACTTTGAACCAAAGGAAACTATCAAAATCGGGGAGGAAGCAGCTTGTTGCCAACATTGAAATGACAATGGCAGCCAATCCAATGTGACCCACCAAAGGGCTCTAGGAATGCTCCCAAGCTTCATCAGAACTGTTCCAGAGCCCTTTGATCTGGATTTATCTGGTTAAATGCATATGTTGCCTTAGAATTCTTTAGTCCATCCCCCTGAACTATAGCATTATGCTCAGCTGGTAAAGAAATCTAATTGCTCCACCAAACAACATTATCCTAGAATTCCATAGGATAGAGAGATGGCTGTTAAAGGTGGTACTGAAATGCTATAATTGTAGATACAAAGGTCACACTATGTTGCCTACACACAGTATGCATGATTTGTGCAGGTAAAATTATGAACTTTCAAGCTCCTCCTAACTTCTCCTTGAAAATAACTGAAATTTCAAAGTGACTACCACCTTTTTAAACCCATCCATTGGTTTTATTGGGTCACTTAGTAAGCTGAAAAGTATCTTTGAGAAAGGAAGTATATGAAAAGAACGAGGACCTCTGCACATCCAAAGACTTTGTGAGTATTGATTGGCTCTAAAACAGTCAGCAGAACTTCTCAGGATAAGTGAGTTTAGTACAGTGGCCTAAATTCATTCCTTTAGCTCATGGACATCTTTTTCCCTTCTCTATTATAGGAGAAATCTGACAAAGGCTCTCTTTCTTTTTCTATTTTGCAGTCCCTATTTCAGTCAGCTACCTTTTGCTGAGAAATTGTAATGCCACTGCATTGTTATGGAAATGATTATGATGTCACGAGCTCAGCATTACAATTCATTACAGGAACTAGTATGAAGTAAATGCAATCTAATTTACTTCTGAATAGCACTATTCACACCAAAAAGTGGTATCATTTCTAAGCCAGTCCAAGGTGCACATGCAAATTTTAGGCCTGATTCTGCTCTCACGTCTGTAGGAGTTTTGCCTCGGATGTCGGAGGTTTTACAGTACATGCAATAAAAGTATAAGAGAACAAGCAAACTCTCCGCAACTTCAGACTCAGATGTATGCACTTATTTGAAGAGCAGCGAACTGACAGAAAGGAAAGAACATTTTAGGGGGAAATTGTATCTAATACAACAAAGTGAAAGAATACATAGTAAGATTTGACCAGAGGTTATACCACAGAATTTTGGAAAATGGAAGATTAAGGATCCTAAAGCCCCTTCTTCCTTTTTGTCTTACATCATTTACTGTAAAATTTGTGGAGAGATTACTAGGGACTAAAGACAGTCTCGATAAAATAATAAAGAGTAGAGACATCAGACTGGCAACAAAGATCCGCCTAGTCAAAGCCATGGTATTCCCTGTAGTAACCTATGGATGTGAGAGCTGGACTTTAGGGAAGGCTGAGCGAAGGAAGATCGAGACAGCAAAGCCTAGAGAAGACAATTATGCTGGGGAAAGTGGAAGGAAAAAGGAAGAGGGGCCAACCAAGGACAAGATGGTTGGATGGCATCCTTGAAGTGACTGGACTGACCTTGAAGGAGCTGGGGGTGGTGATGGCCGACAGGGAGCTCTGGCGTGGACTGGTCCATGAGATCACGAAGAGTCGGAGATGACTGAACGAATGAACAACAACAAAGACATAGTGCAAGCTCCAGCCCTAAAACATTCAAAGACCTGGGAGAGCCTCACTATCTTTGGAGCAACTGAGGTGAGTCAAGGATTAAGGGGTAAATTGGGAGGAGAAAGAAACCGGGTCCTCATCTGCCATATACAATCCAGATTATCTGCTTTGAACTGGATTATATTAGTCTACACTGCATCAAATGACTGCCTACTGTAAGGCCGTCCAGAGTCCCTTTTTAGAGAGAGAAGGGCAGGATACAAATCTATACAAATAAAAATGTAATGTTCGTTTGTGGGATTAACATAACTCAAAAACAATTGGACAAATTAACACCAAATTTGGACACTACAGCCCTAACGGACCAACGAGTGACCATCACTTATAAGCCCCTCCCCCAAAAAAAACAGTGGAAAGGACTTAAAAACACAAAAAAGCTAAATGACAATACAGCTCATGCGCAAAAACGGCTTCCCCCGCGTTCGCAAGGGAAAAGAAAACAAACTGCCACCCCAGCTCTCTTTTGCCCATTCCTGTGCTACAGTCACATTGGAAGGTTGCGGCCCTTCACGATGGCGGCAGTTGGGAGGAGCGATGAGGAGACCTGAGGGCAATGTGAGGGCACTAACCATGGAGCCCTTGCTCTGCAGAGACCAGGGACGCACCTCTCTCAAGCGCTGCCTTCAAGCCCAAATCTTTTCTGGCCTATATAGAGGGAAGGAATGAAGGAGGGAAAGGGGAAGGAAGGAAGGAAGGAAGGAAGGAGAGAAGGAGGGAGGGAAAGAAAGAGGGAAAAAAGGAAGGAGGGAAGGAATTAAAAAGAGAAGGAGGGAAAGAAAGAGAGAGGGAAGGAAGAAGAGAAGGAAAGGAGAGAAAGAGGGAGGAAAGAAGGGAAAGAGAGAAGGAAGGATGGAACCAAAGAGCAAAGGAAGAAAGGAGAGAAATTAGGAGAGAAAGAAAAAGGGGGAATGAAAGAGAGAAAGAGGGAGGGAAGGTTGGCCACAGCAGTGCGTGGCAGGTACAGCTAGTAAGTTAAATAAAAATAATAAATATAATTCAATTCAAAGCAGATAATCTGGATTTTACATTACAGTGTAGGTGGGACCTGGGATATTTTAAAGGCAACAGAAAAAGTGGGACAACAGACAATTAATCAAGTCTGTCTCTCCAAACTGGAACAGTTGGTGGTTATGATACAGCACCTTTGTAGCAAACCGCTCCACTGGCTACTGGTCCACAATGGGCATAATTCAAAATGTTGGTCATGACCATTGGACATAAATGAATAAAATAAATAGAGACAGATAGATAGCCCTGTTCACATTCAACTTTACAGTTAAGCAGAATAGCAAAATCCAGACATCATGTTTGGCAGAACACTAGCCAAGCTTAGGCTCATTCTAATTGGCTGTAGGTTGGTGCATTTCTTCACTTACTTAAAACACACACATACACACACAGGAGTTTGCAACACGAGACAGAGAAACAGAGCGCCTTTTTATGTGGGTCAAGAGTCAGTTATGACAAGAAGCAGTGACAAAAAAAATTGCTATCTAAAATTCTATTAAGAAATAATTGTAAAGGGCATACTTGAAGACACAAGGTGGTTTCAGAAGAAGTGACAGCAATTAAAAACCATCCAACCTTCCAGGACAGATTATTGATGAAGATGCAAAAAAGCACTGCTTTCAGCTAGGTGAAACAATTAGCTTTGTGAATAATTATGTCACCAGAGTATGAAATTGATAGTTTTATGCTAGTTTACTGGGAATTGTTAGTACAATTTGGATGAGAGTGAGCAGAACATAAGAGGGCCACGCTTCCCAATCAATGGGGAGTTTATCTGTGACTTTCTTCCCATTGCATTAGATGCTCATGTATGTACCTTGTATAAACTAAGTAGCTCTGTCCACCTGAATAAATGTTCTGAGTGTTAGCTAAATAAACATATTAGGAAGGGAAACACACTATCACACTTTTTTTACTTCCATCATGGGGTGAGTGACAGTTTGGAGAGGAGAGCCTTCTATAGGCCTGAAGAAGAGAAGGCCGAGAGAAGACATGATAACCATGTATAAATATGTGAGGGAAAGTCATAGGGAGGAAGGAGCAAGCTTGTTTTCTGCTGTTCTGGAGACTAAGACATGGAACAATGTCTTCAAACTACTGGAAAGGAGATTCCACCTGAACATTAGGAAGAACTTCCTGACTGTGAGAGCTGTTCAGCAGTGGAACTCGCTACCTTGGACTGTGGTGGAGACTCCTTCTTTGGAGGCTTTTAAGCAGAGGCTGAATGCCCAGGGGTGCTTTGAATGTGATTTTCCTGCTTCTTGGCAGGGGGTTGGACTGAATGGGCCACAAGGTCTCTTCCAACTCTATGATTTTATGTCAGTTTTCCAAATATCAGTTCTCCAGCATTCTCAATTACATGAGAGACTCCAAACATACAGGAAGGTCTTCATTTCAGATTATCATTTTCCATGTAAGCCTCATATGCAGAAGGTTCTCCTTCTCAGACCATTACTCTCCATGTCAGACTCCAAACACATAGGAGGTTCTCCTCTTCAGACATTATTCTCCATGTGAGGAGAGTCATGGGAATGCATGTAAAGAGGGAACAGAGTTCACTCTGCATTCCTATACATTTATTTAGGCTATATTTAGAACACCTACATGGCCATGTAAGCAGTTAAAATCAGAGAGAGCCAAGGAATCAGTCGGTAAAATCAAGTTGAAAAAGATATGGAGAAGATGAATATGGAAAAGGAAATTAAAAAAATGCAATGTGAAGACTGTAGGTGCATGAACAATTTTCATCAATTTGAGGGCAAATGCAAATTCAAGATATTTTGGTCCCAAAAGCAAAACACCCTTCATATAACTGGAGGTCATTGTTACAAGGGTACCCAGAAATATAGAGCAGAGACATGAAAACTGCATCCTTTGGCAAGGCCAAAAGAAGCATTTTAACTTTTACTCTGCTGGCTCTGGACTTGGTCATTTACTCACCAGATTGTCTAAGAGGCCCACTGTCTACACTGCCACCAAATCCTGCCTTATCACAAAAGGGAGGAGCCCAGTGTGCCTCGCAGTGGCAATTTTTTTTATTGTTGCAGACCTTAAAAACAAAATAACATGCACATATGAGTGTGTAAAACAGCAAACACAAATGAAACCTGTGTGTAAAAAAAAATGAAAGTTAGATTTAAAATGGCAAACTGGTTTATGAGTTCAGGAAAACTGCATCCCACTATAGGCATTTTGTTCAGAACGTCTTTCCCCAGTGAAACTAAAAAAAACCCAGAAACTCTAGAATTAGAAAGCAAAGACAAAGCAACACAATGATCCCAACAACATTGCCTATGCACGAATATTGTCTTAGGGGAAACTCATTTGGCTTGTTTTCTTGTTTGGAAACTGCAGTTGCATCTCCTGGGATCTGCCAATTTTGTCAATAGTGTTCAACCACAGAGGAAGGTGCAAAGTTCATGTTTCAGGAAGTTAATTTTTCAGGAAGAATGCCTGCCCTGGGAGTGCTACTTGTATTATGTATGGATCTTTCTGGGTTGTTTAGCGTGCTTTTGCAATTATGCCTACTTGCTTATAACTTCTTAAGTTCAGTGGTTAAGGCATAGATATAAAGAAACTGCACTAGCTATATATATATATAAAAGCCGATTCCTGAGAATCAAGAGGGAGTTGTATCCACAATCCATAAGTAGCTTAGTTTCCAACTGGCCTCACAATCTTTAAGACCCGAGAAGAAAAGGTACACATTAGGGGCTCAACTGCAAATCCTGGGGGATGCAAGGAATTTGCAGGTACATAGGTTTAAAGTTAACTTTTGGTTCTCTTGCATGTTCTCTTTTATTTTAGTGACATTGCATTGTATGTAAAATCCCTTTCTTGCCCTCAGCATGAAGGCGGGGAAGAGCTTTGCTCCCTACAGTGAAGGGAGAGGTAAAATAGTCCTGGGTGGAACTTGTTGTGGGCAGGGTCAGCACAGGGGCAGTCGCTGCCCTTTCCTCTCATTTTCTCGATGTTGATGACCCACCCGCCTGCCTCTTTAACAGTGTACTTTTACAAGGGTCACTGACTGGGCCAGGTAGGAATCCCCCCCCCCTATGTTATAGGTTTTTTTTGTCTACCCTACACGGTTTAATCCATGGCAAATTGGGTGAGTGGGTTACAAATAGGCTTCACACAAGAAAACCAAGGACAGGTACATATTGGTATGCACCAAGGCACCCCTATGTGGTGTAGGCCATGAATGGGAACCCTCATGTGTTAGGTGAGGGTGAACAGGAGTGGCCTTGGGCGGAGAGAGTCATGGACTGAATTCTCCACCTGTTTCCCTGAAGGGTCACCTTGGGAACAACACTGGGTTGCATCCGAGGACCTTGGTGTCTTGCCATTGTTTGAGGATGAGTTGGTCTCTGATGGCCACTGCCTTGTTTAATACACACCAAATTCAAGTTTAAGGTCAAATTCAAGTTCATGTTCAAGTTCATGTTCATGCCTTTAAATTAGTTGGCAGATCACACAGAGATTGATTGGAAACATGTAATAAAAGTTGCCCATAGTTAACCCAAACAGTTGTGTTGTTTTGTGATTTCACTGGTGGGAGAGCAATCCACATGCTATGTTGACAAGTTTAAAACCTTCTTTAGGTGGCTCAATCACCTGAGGTTAGGAAATTGATTACCAGGGAAATAACCTCTCCACTCATGTCTTTTAGGTATGGTTTTAATTTTATTGTCATGCCGTTGTGATGTTTTCGAGATCTTATTGCCTGTAGCCTACTACGCTGGCTACATCTATATTTTAATTGTTTAATTGCATTTTTATGTAAACTGCCTGGGAACATGATTGGAGAGAAGTATAAAAATTAATCATGTACACTTAGTATGAATTTTAAAGAGGGCAAATATAGATTGATGCTCCAACACTATTAAAACGTTCCCGGCAGAACAATATTAATATGCAGGTACAGGTCAGATGTTGGAACTGCAGCAACTATATTCTTTGTTTATTAATCTTTTTTATTTATTAGAACTTGTAGCTGCCAAGAAACATAGGCAATACTTAATGAACACGTCAATTAAAAGGAATAATAGTATTTCTTATCATATGGGATTATTAGTTTAATTATTATGTCTAATATTTTTTAAATTTAAAAGCAATCAATTAGTGCCTGTGTACATTTTTAATTCAAAGAAGAATATTTCCCTGAAACAGTTTTTCAAACATCTCAGTTCAGCTACAAGTTTTAAACTTAGGCCCCAAATATGTGTGAAACATTATCAACAACATTTGATTCAATGAATTTAGTTTAGAATTACAGCACATAAGAGGGAACTAAATTCTGTTTCTGAACTGCAGAAAATTGTAAAAGAAAGATAAGGGCACTTACACCATAGCGATTTCTTTGTGAAATAAAAGCCACATTGCCTTTCTTGGATGTTGAGAAGGATACTGAAAATTGATCTTTTTCTAAGGACATGCTGAAAAGACTTTGACGGATATATTACAAAGAATAATAGATTTCAAAAGCTGTAACCAATGAATGATTTATTGCTCAGCTGGGTATTGACTGACTGTAAAAAATTGGATCCGTAATACTTACTCCACGGCCATGACATTTTGTTGCACATTCATGAACACCAAATACACTGGTATTTTGGCAGCGACGGTTGAGACAGATCTATCAAATAAGAAAAGAAGAGCAACCTTAATGTTTTCAGAATTAGAAGTTTGTGGTTTATGCACCAAGCAGTACTTACTACAGTTTTCTGTGCTGTATTCATCATAGAATAAAGTCTATATACACTTATACAACTTCAAATTGAAGAGCGGAGCCCCTGGGGTGCAATGGGTTAAACCCTTGTGCCAGCAGGACTGAAGACTGACAGGTCAGAGGTTTGAATTCAGGAAGAGCATGGATGAGCTCCCTCTGTCAGCTCCAGCTCTCCATGCGGGGACATGAGAGGAGCCTCTCATAAGGATGGTAAAACATAAAAAAAACAAACAAACATCCAGGCGTCCTCTGAGCAACGTTCTTTGCAGACAGCTAATTCTCTGACACCAGAAGCAACTTGCAGTTTCTCAAGTCGGTCCTGACACAACAACAAAAATGAAGGTTTGGGGTCTAAAATTACAAATGTTGATATGATCCATGGACAAATCAGAAGTCCTTCTGCAGAGAGGGAAAATTCAAATTGGGTAAGTGCCAAAGAGATATCAAAATCACCATTTCCCCTCCCAGGCATTCTAAAAGGCTAGAAGTGACACTAAGATGGAGATAACAAAATGGTTTGGTTTTTCTTTTTTGTTTACCCACGATGGACTAAGCTCATGCCTTTTCCTACTTTACTTGGAGATTGGGTTGTTCATATTTCAGTAAGAGTTAAGATACAGTAGTTAATGGACTTGTGGATATGCTGACCCAGTGTTCTTTATTCAATGTGAACTAAATTTCTGGACTCGTACACGAGTTATGTCTGGTTTAGACACACAAACACACATGCAACATAGCTGGCACAATTTCTATTTAACAATTATGCAAAGACAGCCCTAGGTAATTTTCAACGGTAAGCAAACAGTATTTTGGCGCCCCCCCCCCAACCAATCACTGATATATATTTTCTGTTTGTCGTGGGAGTTGTGTGTGCCATATTTGGTACAATTCCATCATTGGTGGAGTTCAGAATGCTCTTTGATTGTAGGTGAACTATACATCCCAGTAACTACAACTCACATATCTCAAGGTCTATTTTCCCCCAAGAGTGCCCCTGGGCAAAATCAACTATACTGCAAATGCTTACTTTGCATAATGGGTTGAGCCGCCTCTGCAATTACGGCACACCCAATCTGATATCATGAGAACAAAATAGTAAATTCTTGTTTATTTAGATCTTAAAAGTTTCTCTTTTTTGTTTCAGTGCATGAAATCTCTTCAATAAAAGATTTCTGGTCCATATTAATTGGAAATAAGCAAAATACATTTTATTAGATGAGCACCTGTCAAGCATTAGTGTTATCTTCCATTGTTTGAAACAAATGGCTTTTCCCCTCCACTCCCACTTTGCCACATTCATTTATACATTCAATTTTCATTTTAAAAATTGGATGCATTTAAGGAATAGTTGGCAAACCGGAGAGGTGTTACAGATCCTCAGGATACAAAAGGTATATTTCTAAACTTAACATTGCTGGGATATTTCCAAATTAAGAACACCACTTTAGAAACACCATCTTTGACTTTAGTCTTTCAGTTCTAAAATTACACTAGGGATAGCTGTATGTGTGAGAGAGATTTTGGCTTATATTTCTTAAAATCAGGTTTATAATCTGTTTCATGTTGGTAAACTGTTAGATAAATTACTGTGTACAGTCAATCAATGTGGGAAACAGTGTTTAGTTGGAATCGTGGATTTACAAAGAACCTTAAGGCTTCTTTAAAGATTCTGGATTTTCTATGAAAGGAAATTCACCTGCAGAGATGGAATCCCAATACTGGTTTTCTCTGCACTTTGTGTGTATGTGTGTGTGGAAGAGAGAGAATGTGTTTGTAATTGTAAATTGGCAATAAAAGAAAGAGATCTAACAGTCTTTAGCTCGGAGATAGAATGTACTGAAGAAGTTGCTCTTTGGGGACCTGATGCCTGCTGTAGGAGAACTTGTTTACCTCCAAGTGTACGCTGCCTATATATTTGCAAATAAAGCAAATATCAGAAAACAACTGTAAATTCCCAGTCTCTGCAGGAAACTAAACAAGTGTAGCAATATTCTGCCACAGAGCAACAGAGCTTTTCACCACTCGAAGCAGCAATTTCATAATACAAGTAGTACCCGAGTTAGAAAAATCCGATTTACAAACAGGAGAAGAACAGGAGTGAGACAACAGGAAGTGAGAGAAATCTACTCCTGAAAGAGTTATCAAGGGGGAAAGGTGAAGCTTTATTACCAATCCTTGTTTCCACAACAAGCCAAATTTTTCAAAATCCAATTATTACAGGAACGGAAAGTGGGGTGAGATCTTCTAAATAAGGGCACAGATAGCAAAACAAACACCAACAGGAGTGCTGACCCTTTCCTCTGCTATACAAAGCATGTATTTACTCAACAGTGCAGACGCACACAAAATCTTACTTCACATTGAATGGAAAGTCTTCAAACATTGAAATTTTCTATCTGCATGGCTTATTTCAATTAGAATAGAAATAGTTTGGATTATGAAGACCGTCTTAACAACATGCTTTTTGGTTGACATAGAGGAGTTGGTATTTAAGTTTGTTGTTCATTCGTTCAGTCGCTTCTGACTCTTCGTGACCTCATGAAGCAGCCCACGTCAGAGCTCCCTATCAGCCGTCACCACCCCCAGCTCCTTCAAGGTCAAGCCAGTCACTTCAAAGATCCCATCCATCTTGCCCTTGGTCAGCCCCTCTTCCTTTTTCCTTTCATTTTCCCCAGAATAATTGTCTTCTCTGAACTTTCCTGTCTTCTCATTATGTGGCCAAAATACTTCATCCTTGCCTCTAATATCCTTCCCTCCAGTGAGCAGTCGTGTTTTATTTCCTGAAGTATGGACTGGTTGGATCTTTTCATAGTCCAAGGCACTCTCAGAACTTTCCTCCAAAGGCAAAAATGAAAATTGTACTCCTTCTTATCAGGATAATCTTGAAGGAAGCTGGCAGGGATTGTACTATTCACACTCTGGTAAGCAACCAAAAAAAAAAAAAAAAAAAATTTTTTTTTTCCATATTGTTTTACTACAAAGAAAAGCAACCAATCATGATATATATTTTCTGTTCGTTGTGGGAGTTCTGTGTGCCATATTTGGTTCAATTCCATCATTGGTGGAGTTCAGAATGCTCTTTGATTGTAGGTGAACTATACATCCCAGTAACTACAACTCGCATATGTCAAGGTCTATTTCCCCCCCAAGAGCGCCTCAAGAGCGCCCCTGGGCAAAAACAACTATACTGTGAATGCTTACTTTGCGTAATGGGTTGAGCCACCCCTGCTAAGGGGAATACCATTGCTTTAACTATGTGGATCTTTGTTGCCAGTGTGATGTCTGTACTCTTCACTATTTTATCAAGATTGGTCATTGCTCTCCTCCCAAGAAGTAAGCGTCTCCTGATTTCCTGGCTGCAGTCTGCATCTGCAGTAATCTTTGCACCTAGAAATACAAAGTCTGTCACTGCCTCCACGTTTTCTCCCTCTATTTCCCAGTTGTCAATCATTCTTGTTGCCATAATCTTGGTTTTTTTATGTTTAGCTGCAACCCAGCTTTTGCACTTTCTACTTTCAGCTTGATTAAAAGGCTCCTCAGCTCCTCCTTGCTTTTGGCCATTAAAGTGGTAACATCTGCATATCTAAGGCTGTTAATGTTTCTTCCAGCAATTTTTACCCCAGCCTTGCATTCATCAAGCCCCACTCATTGCATGATATGTTCTGCATACAAGTTGAATAAGTTGGGTGAGATTATACAACCCTATCGTACACCTTTCCTGATCTTGAACCAGTCTGTTGTCAAACCGGAGAGATATTATAGTATATAAGTAGATACAAACATTTGCCTTTTAATCAGTAATGTTGACCTATCCAGTTCAGTATACTTTCTACAGACATTGAGATCTACCCCTGGATTCCTATATAAATTGTAAATCAGAAATGGTTAAAAATAACTTAACATGTTTTCCTCCACTGACAAAAGCAGCAGTGCCATGCAATTACATGGGAACAAATTTGAACAAAGCTGAAGCCATAATCACAATATGTTTCAAGTTTGCTACCAGTATGCCTAACTGATGTGGGAACTCCAGAAACCTCAAATGCAATCATAGGTTCAGAAAAGCCCTGAAACATCACTCAAAAGCCACAATTATCATGGTTATTACTGTTAGGCCAAATGCTTCTCTGTAATTGTAGAAGGAAACACCATGTGTCCAGGAAAGCTGAAATACTGGAATCTCTTTCCAAAAATACCAAATCAGGACTTCTCCACACCTGTTAAATTAAATGAATGAGCCACAATTAAACTCTGAAAATCATGGTGAAAGGGCTCAAGATTATTTGGATGATATCCATCTCCATCAGAGAGTCCTGTTCATATTATACAACTGTAAATGTAGAAGGAAATCTTTTCACATCTTCCTTTGTAGATAAGAATGTCCTGCAATTAAGTTGTTTGTCCTTCACATCTATAGTTTTGCAACATGTGAATGGAGCACCTTTATTCAGAACACAGAGAGTCCTTCTACACAGCCATATAACCCAGAATATCAAGGCAGATACTCCACAATATCTGTGTTGAACTGGATTATCAGAGTCCACACTGCCATATAATCCAGCTCAATGTAGATTTTATACAGCTGCGTGGAAAGGACCAGAGACCATTGATTTCAGAACTGTATAAAAACTGTATAAAAAAGCAAAAAAGTCTGCATTCCCAACACTTTAAGCCCTACCTTTTCTTGTTCTCACTTTGTGTGTTTTGAATTAACAGTTTGACAAACTGTTATATTTATGCAGAGTTCTCCTATACCCAAGAGTTTATTGAGAATGAATGGAATTGGCTTTTTGTTTAGCCAGAAGCCTAGCAATCAACTGGCATGTAAAAATGCTGAGACAAGAATTATTGTAGCAGCAATATATATATTCTTTGCAAACATTTTCATGCTGCAGCAAACTACTGAT